ATTGGATTTATAGCCTGTAATAACTGTGATTGAATTTTTGTTGGTTTGTGTTTGCTTGCTTTTATCATGTCTTGCTTCCTTGTCAAGAAAAAGGGAGATTGTTAGTACAAGCAAACCCTAAAATCCCTTTTTATTATTTATGGCAATGACCAGGCATGTTGACACGTTGTCACAGCTATTCTGTAACACAGTTTTGGCACTATCCGATGCCCTAGTCGAGGAATCAGGTTTGCAAGGGTCAAACCTGTTGTGCATTCAATGCTTTGAGACAAAGGGACTTGTCTCATGTGGAGAGGAAGCATGACGTGACAATGGACATCTCATTTGTCCTACATGGCATTAATTATTTTTGTACACACTTTGTCTTCTAGTGTGTGTATATGTGTTTTGTTTGCATGTATGTTTGTGTATGTGCAAGACAAACTGTGTATGTGCAAGACAAACCAGAACTTAGAGAGGGTTCCCTCTCTACCTGTTTGTGTTGAGAGAGCTTATTCATGAACAGGCCTGGCCCTGGGTCAAAGCCATAAGGGCCTTGCCCAGGGCCCATTCCCTTAAAGAGCCAATCATATATATACTCCTATATATTAATATATATATATATTATTATTATTAATTTTTTTATAGAATATATAAAATAAAATTTGAAAAAAAAACTATTTTATAATTATTTTTTGAATAAAAATTTCTACATTAATTTTTAAATTATTTATTTGTATATTTTAGTATGTTTATTTAATGATATGATTTTATATATTTTTGTGAATTATGTAAAATTAAGAAGATCTGATGGAGTAATATTTTTTGTGTTCTTGTTATTATTATTTTTATTTTTATGTTTATATGTATAAATTTGTATATTTTAGTATTTTTTTTGGTAGTATTTTTAAAAATTTGTGTATTATATAAGCACTGGGTTTGTTTTTTTAATCTAAACTTTCTAATTTTTACTATTAGGACTATGTATTTCTCAAAAAAATACATTTTTTTCTCTCACAAACATCTCATCAATCATTATTTTAATATCAAATTCAATCCAAACTTTTCCCTAAACCAATCAAAAGAAACAAACCCTTGATAAACATTTTTGTTTGAAAATTTTCTTTTAAAGAGTTTTATTATTTATAAAAATATTTTTTTATTTTATTTTTTATATTATACTAAAATGTCACATTAATTTTATATTTATATTTTGATTTTTTAATATATAAAAAAATTATTTTATTAATACATTTACATTAAAAATATATTTATAAAATTATTATATTATTATTATTATAATATAAGAAATATATTTAAGTGCCCAAATTTCTAATTTTTTCCCGGGCCTAATAAAAGTCAGGAACGGGCCTGTTCATGAATGTTTGAAGACGAGAAGAAAAATTTCTTGGAGCTGAAATCGAATGAGTCATTCATCCGATACATATCCTTATTCTTAGCTTGGCCGCAGGTTTGCTGGTGTTGCTACGGGGCAGTAACAACCAATCCATGAGAGTTTCTATAAATTAAATGGAGCTTAGGTAGAAGATAGGTTGGATAGTTCGGTTTGGTGACTTATATGGTGTAAATCAAGTGTTTCATTATTTTTTACATAAGTTATAAATATATTGTTACACATATAAATAAAGTACAAATAAAAAAATGTCAAAACTATATTACACATTTTTACTGATTAATAAAATACTATTATTTTTTAATCTATTATTGTCCCAGACTAATGGAGCATCTATTTAGATTACATCAATATTATTTACTCTTCATATTATTTTAGTAAAAATATACTATTTTTTTAATAAGTATTACATCAAAATATAATTTAAATAAAAATTCAAATTAACGTACATTTCAAATCAATTTCAAACTATAACCAAATCGTTAATTTTCATTCAAATTTTTTTTATTATTCTCAAAATTTTCTAAATCTCCAAAATACTTTTAAAATATATTTAAATAAAAACAAGGTTGAAATATATATAGATTACAGCAATATCTTTGTGTAAGTTTTATTATTTTAAAATTTCACCTCAAAAATATTAAATTAAATATTTATCTTTTATTTTTTATATTATAAAAAATAATTTTATATTAAAAATATTTTATTAATAATTATTTATAATAATAATTATTTTAATTCAAAATTTTATTATTATTAATTTTAAATCATAATTCAAAACACATCTAGAATGTAGTCTAACCAGCCTACCGCTGGAACCTCCCAATAAACTAAGGATAAGATGATAGTGATCAAGTCATCTTATTCAAATCTAAAATTTGGCTCATAATGTTTCTGAATGACCTCAAACTTGTTCGTGAACGTTTGATAGTATTTATTAAAAAAAATATATTTAATATTATATACTTATCTTCTCTCATAACAGTATGTATTTTTTATTTTAATATGTCTCGTAATACTGGATATATTTCTACTTTTTAGTAAATACTTCTTTCGTCCCACAAATTTTATCCATTTTACTGTAGATGCAGAATTTAAGTAAAGTATAATTAGTAAGTAATTAAGAAATATATTAGTAAATATAATTATGATATAATAAAAATAATTATAGATTAATATTAAGATGACTAGATAAATTAATTAAGATTAAAAAATTATATTTTAGTCTTGATTTTAAATAATTTAATTAAGATTAAAAATAATTTAAAAATATAAAATGAAATTTAAAATATGATCAAAGTGTATAATTATATTTTCAGAAACGGAAAAGAAAAATTATGTGTGACGGATAAAAACTGAAAAATGTGGATATTTTATGTGGGACGGAGGGAGTATATCAATATTAAATATAAGTAATAAATATAAATTAATTTAATTAAATCTATATATTAGCTCACTCAAAAAAATTTAATTCTATCTTTCATCAATCAATTTAATTAAATTTTTAATTTCTTATGCGTCGGGCCATTCAATACTCTTTTATTTCTATCTCTCTCGCTAATAAACAAATAGTTTTACCTACATTTAAAACTCCAATTTTTTATAAAATTAATTTATGTTAATCATAAATAAATAAAAATATTTTTTTATTTAATTGTATTATATACTCCTCCCATCTCAAGTCAAAGTACATTTTTTATCACGTTTGATTGTTGTTGAAACTTATCAGGAATTTAACCCTAAGCCCAGGATCTACCGTGTTGTAATAATTGAGATAAGAATAAAGAAATTTTGATTTAACCTTATTCTTCAGCATAGTCGGATTCAAATCTCCAAATTGATAGAGGGTTTTGTGTTCTTCAAGCCTATGGTGCAACCCCTCCCGAGAAAAACGCTAGGGTTTCTGCCGTTACTCCCACGATGAGATATGGAACGTAATGGTTGTTGCGTCTAGACCTGTGATCACAACCCTATTTATATCCCTTATTATTAATTGGTCTCATCACCCAATTAATAATTTACCGGGTTTCTGCATATTGGAGGCCCGCACTTACTAAACACATTTAAGCCCAATAAATTAATAGATCACTTAATATAGGCTTAATCTGACCGATAGCCCAAATAGTTACATTTAATCCACAATTGGATTTTTAATCCAACAATCTCCCACTTGGATAAATGTACACTGAATAACCTTATGAGCTAATGAATGTTTTGCTATCAGATCCTTAATGTATATTACCAATCTTATCTATAAGTCACATCAATGCGGATCAAAGCGGTCGTCACTGCATTTATTGCAATGGGACCGATCGGTGGTCATAACACTAATATAACCTAAGATTCGATCAAGTGCGGATGCACAACATGGAAATTTCATGTAATGTGATCTTAACATGCCTATTTCCAACTGATCCACCTTAACTTTAATTCAGAACAACTGAATACTGAATTAAAATTGAATACTGCACACTGAATATTGAACATTGAATATTGAACTGTGCAGTGTAAACCAAAGTAACTTTAATAGTATTTGAACACTACTAATTAGCTCCCACTAAACCGAAGTATCTTATATGGTTCCATTCTCGTACGAGCAATATGCTCACTATAGAACTTATGTGAAAACCCTTTAGTAATTAAGCGGATCCGCAATCATGGAAGCTGTACGAATATGTTCAATAACTAATTCATAATATGAAGTCAGACTGTTAAGAAGCAAATGATGATTATTATCATCAAATGATGTACTAGTTCCAACCAATTTTGAATTCTGGAAGAGACAAAACTCTATATCCGAATGAATAATAATAACTGAATTTGTTCAAAATAGAGATTAAAATTAAATTTTGACTAAAGATGGTACTATAAAAAAAGTCTCATCCAAAAATAAATAGTAACGAGTACTCAATGATAATCTAAAATTGTCAGTGACTTCAACTTTAACCTTCTTGTCGTCACCCATATAGATGTATCTTTCAACATCAATTGATTTCGACAATAAAGTAATCTTACATATACATACTGATGTGTGTTATTACACCAAAATCTACCCCCAGGTGTGTCTATGAACTAAAATTAAATTAATTTCATGAGCAAGACTAATAGGACAAACATGTCCTCTGAAATGTCTAACTTAAGTGTCCTCAATTTAGTAGCAATAGTAGACATGTTCATGATGTACTCCCTTATGTTATGTTTGTCGTTATACTTTATGGTATGAGACTCTTAAGAAGTGTACGTATTTCTGCCTTATCGCTTTTGGTAAAGCGTTTCTTAATTTCAACAAGGAATCCATATCATCATATATTGTACTCCTAAAATTTATGGAGTGTTTTTCTTAATGATAATTAGACTTAGGCGTTGGATGTAACACCCCCAGTTGGCTCATACTGGAAATGCTACCGCCACACTGCATCATGAGGTCGTCACCTCCTACTTCGGGCCCCACAACACAGTGTTAAGGCTAAAATTAATTATATAAGCATTTTATTATTTCCAAAAAAACAAGTTTATAAATATTTACAAAAACATACTCCCAAAACGGGAGGTTTTTCTAGTTAGGATTTACATATAATACATCAGATGCAGTTCACTCATTCAGCCCGTCTTTCTATCTCCCGAGACGTCCCCTATCCCGGAGGTGCCATGCGTACCTGAATCAAATATTTTTCTTAAAAGCAGTCTAGAATTAAATCCATTTTAAGAACTAACATAAAATATGCCATGTCATGCTCGAAAATAGAGTTTAATTTCCGTCATTTGCAAAATAAATGCCATGCCATGCCCATACTGAAATAATGTAACAATAATGTCAAAATCGACAACTCATGCACATATACCCATATACATATGTCAAAGTGAGCAGCCGGAATAACCTCGGCTCCATGATAACAGCTCACTAGACTATCATCAATAAATAGCCGGAAAATCCTCGGCTCAAGGAAGGACCTGGTAAACCCATAATAATATAACGGTCACCCGGTCACTCCCATATACCCACCATACGACTCCCGCAATCAATACATGGATAGTCGAACGTTGTCGCCATTAACCACAAGACACCCCATAGTCTGTGATAGCGAAGATAGGACCCTCCTGCCTAGCCCTACCCCGTGTAACGTAGTAGAATCCGTGCAACCTGGAATCACCCGAAGGAAACCCGGAAACTCTACTCCTCCTCGCACGCCCTAACGGGATCGCGTTTGGAGTTTGGCATCTGATCCTAAACTACCGGTAGACCTCACTAGTAGCTACTCCAATGAGTGGAACAACACCGAACCCGAATGATTAGACCAAATACGTCTCAACTGCAATGGGTCTAATCCCTGAATGACCGTGCGACTAAGTCACCCAGTTGTCCGACTACTATCGTCCACTATCGCCAAAGTGTTACGGTACATCGGGGTCGAATATCCTAACCCCAGATGATGCCCTCGCCTAGCACTACCGCACAAACGATAGATCCATAAAACATATCCGATAAATCGTGCGAGGTGTGCAGCATGTCAATAAGTGAATTTAATGAAAAGGGCTGGTGAGACGGCCCACCTATCCTCCTTTTTATAAATTCACCAACACGATCAAATACGTATATCAAATATCGTAAAACGAAGTTTCACACATGCATATACACACACATATATACATATATAGATGCACTGACCAAATGATTCCACATAATATCATATCAATATCAGAATCAGAATCACATGCAACATAAATACCTAATTTCTTAAAATTAGATTTAATTCCCTACTGCTTACCTCCTACCGATACTTTCTGGATTTTTATAACTTCACCCAAATCTCCTCCAACGCACACCTGTTCCATTATTTACTCAAATCAGATGAGCTTTATGCTTATTCTCAGGAGCTACCTGCTTATTCAAAAGCTAATTTCTATAATTAACTCGTCGGGCTCCAAACTTTTATATTTAGTAGAATATGATATTCTAGCTATAAAATCCTTCTACCTCATAATATTTATATTGCCCGATTATTAAATAAAAATACGCAAAGGTATGAACAAGCAGGCAGGTGCAATTCACTACCGTTTTCCATTCGGCTCGGATCGATACGAAATTCTCAGAATATAATACTAGGACTACGAATAGGCTATCAGCTAAAAAATTCGTCGATTAAATAGTCAAATAGCCGGTTATGAATTTTTGAAGAATTTCTAATTTAATATTCCCAAAATATTTAATTTCTTAATTCCAAAATATAATAAAATATTTATTTGCTATAATAATATTATTTTATACATTCCGAAATCGGGGCATTACAATCCACTCCCCCTTAAAAAAAAGATTTCGTCCCCGAAATCTAAACTCAAACACATAACAAGGCAACTTAATTAAACAATTGTGGGTATGCCTTGAACATTTCTTGTTCTACTTCCCACGTGGCCTCTTCCGCTCCATGTCTGGACCACATTACTTTCACCATACGAATATCTCGATTCCTCATGGTTCGAACCTTTGTGTCCATGATCCACAGAGGCTTTTCTTCATACGAAAGATCTTCATTCAGCTCTATCTCATCTGGAGATAAAATATGAGAAGGATCTGCAACATACCTACGAAGCTGAGATATATGAAACACATTATGGATACGCTCCATAGAATTTGGAAGTGCCAACCGATAAGCCCAATCACCAACTCGATCGACAATTTCATAAGGTCCAACATAACGCGGACTCAATTTTCCTTTAATCCCAAACCTTCTAATACCTTTCATTGGGGATACTTTCAATAAGACAAAATCTCCACTTTGAAATTGACCCTCACGTCGGGCTCTATCGGCATAACTCTTTTGACGATCTTGAGCTATTTTCATCTTCTCCCTGATAATTCGAATTTTTTTTTTTTGATTCTTCGATCATTTCTGGACCTAATATCAGTCGATCTCTCATGTCATCCCAACTTAAAGGAGTTCTGCATCTTCGTCCATAAAGAGCTTCAAAAGGAGCCATTCCAGTACTTGTTTAATAACTATTATTATATGAGAATTCCACTAAATCCAAGTGGTCCTCCCAACTTCCTTGAAATTCTATTGCACAAGCTCTTAGCATATCTTCCAGAATACGGATAGTTCTTTCTGACTGACCATCAGTCATAGGATGGAATGCAGTACTCATATGCAACTGAGTACCAAAGGCTTCCTGCAATTTTTGCCAAAATCGAGATTGAAAACGTGGATCACGATCTGATATGATCACCTCAGGAATACCGTGTCGTTTAACCACATAATGAACATATAATTTGGCTAATTTCTGCATACTCCAAGTCATACGTACTGGAATGAACACTGCTGACTTGGTCAATCTGTCTATAATCACCCAAATTGCATCTGTTCCCGACTTTGACCTTGGAAGTCCTGTTACAAAATCCATTGCGATAGAATCCCATTTCCAGAGTGGAACTTCTAAAGGTTGTAGCAACCCCATTGGTCTATGATGTTCTGCTTTTACCTTTTGACAATTTAAACATCGTGCAACAAATTTGGCTACATCCTTCTTCATGCCCTTCCACCAAAAATGTTGACGTAGGTCATGATACATTTTATTTCCCCCCGGATGCACTGAGTATGGTGTATTATGAGCCTCACTCATAATCTGCTCTTTCAAATCATTTCGATCCTTTGGGATACACCACCTCCCGTGAAATCGAAGACTCCCATCTGGAGCAATATTAAAATTTTGAGTCTGACCGTACTGAACTTTCACTGCAAGCTCAACCATTTTATTATCTTCCATTTGAGCCGCTCTAATGCGATCATAAATTTCAGGCTCAACTTGTATCATTTGCAAATATCCCCGAGTCATACCCCTTCCAAGTACCTCAATTTCCATCCGCGCTAAATCTTGACACAGTTCATCAGCAACCGACATGAAGCCCAAGTTATGCCTTGGTTTTCGACTTAAGGCATCGGCTACAACATTTGCTTTGCCTTCATGATACACAATTTCAAGATCATAATCCTTCACCAATTCTAACCATCTTCTTTGTCTTAAATTCAATTCTTTTTGGGTGAAGATATATTTCAAACTTTGATGGTCAGTAAATATTCTGCAATGGGCTCCATAAAGATAGTGTCTCCAAATCTTCAAAGCAAACACCACTGCTGCCATTTCCAAGTCGTGTGTCGGATAATTCTCTTCGTGAGGTTTTAGTTGTCGTGATGCATAAGCAATAACTCTTTGATTCTGCATTAAGACACATCCCAATCCCTGCTTCGAAGCATCACTATACACTTCAAACTCCTCACCTTCCACTGGTAAAGCCAAAATTGGCGCTGAAGTTAATCGATGTTTCAATTCTAAAAAGGATGACTCACACTCGTGATCCCAGTTAATCTTTGCATCCTTTTTCAGCAAATTAGTTAATGGTTTTGCAATCTTCGAAAAATCAAGAACGAATCGCCGATAATATCCTGCCAAACCCAAAAAGCTTCTTACTTCTGATTGATTGGTAGGTCTTGGCCAATCCAAGATTGCCGCCACTTTAGAAGGATCTACTGAGATACCCTTTCCAGAAACAACATGCCCCAAGAAAGCAACCTCCTTCAACCAAAACTCGCATTTGGATAACTTGGCATATAACTTTCTTGCACGCAATATGTTTAATATTACATGCAAATGTTTTGCATGCGTCTTTTTATCTGGGGAATAGACCAAGATATCGTCAATAAATACCACCACAAACTGATCGAGGTATGGTTGAAAAATTCTATTCATCAACTCCATAAACGCAGCCGGGGCGTTAGTCAACCCAAAGGACATAACCGTGAATTCATAATGCCCGTATCTAGTCCGAAAAGCTGTCTTCGGAATGTCATGCTCTGCAATCCTTAGCTGATGATATCCAGATCTCAAGTCAATCTTTGAGAATATAGTTGCACCTCTCAGTTGATCAAATAGATCATCAATCCTCGGAAGAGGATATTTGTTCTTCACCGTGACTTTGTTCAGTCCACGGTAGTCAATACACAACCTCAAACTTCCATCTTTCTTTTTCACAAATAAAACTGGAGCTCCCCAAGGCGATGTACTAGGCCGAATGTAACCCTTATCTAGCAATTCCTGTAGTTGCAATTTAAGTTCGGCTAGTTCTAAAGGTGCCATCCGGTATGGAGCCCTTGATACTGGCTCAGCACCCGGCACAATATCAATAGCAAAATCCACCTCACGAGCTGGTGGCATACCCGGAATGTCATCAGGAAATACATCAGGAAAATTTCGGACTACAGGAATATCTTGCAATCGCTGCTCCCCTTGCGTCAAATCTCTTACCTCACACAGATATACTGGAAACCCCTTACGAATAAATGATTGAAATGATAGGGATGAAATTACCTTCATAGAAGGTTGTCTGGCAGATCCTGCATAATCCACCTGTTCGCCCATCGCTCCAACCAGCGAAATTGATCTTTTTCGACAATCAAATTGAGCTTAATATGCCACTAACCAATCCATCCCCAATATTACATCGAACTCGGATAGCTTGATGCCCAACAAGTTAGTAACAAAATCAACCCCTTCAATACTAACCGGAATCTGCATATAAAGCTCTCGGCATTCCAACACTTCTCCTAATGGAAGTAAAACTTCCACTACCACTTCTACTGATGAATTCAGACCCAATCGTTTAACTAGACGCTTAGATATGAACGAGAATGTTGCACCCGAATCGAATAACACAAGAGCAGGAAAACCGCAAACCAGAAATCTACCCGTTAAAACCTCACCTGGATGATAATCAGCTTCTGCTTGGGTAAGAACATTTATTCGTCCACGCTGGTCAGGTCCTCTGCCTGGCTGCCTAGATGACGAACGTGACTGACTTCGTCCCCCTCGCCAAGATGATCCTAATCCTCTCCCTTGTGACTGCGAAGACGGCGGCTGCCATGGCCTAAACCTCGGTTCTGGAAACTCCCTTGCAGTTACCACACTTGGACATAACCTGGCAATGTGACCACTACCACCAGATTTAAAACATGTCAATGGAACTTTATCACAACGAGTACCTGGGTGGCTTGTTCCACAACGCCGACAAACAGCCCCCGATTGCTGAGACCTCTCCTAACTCGGTTCATTAATCGAAATCCCCTTATACGATGGCCCAGACCTAAACATTTGCCACCATTTCTTTTTACCCTTGGGTTCATCCTCCACTTTAGCTTTTCCCTTATCTCGAACCTGATGTTGATAACCTATTTCCTTCTCACTCTCCTTTTGTCTGACTTCCTGCTTCTGATAAAATCGGGCAGCACGCTCGTAAGCCTCATACAATGAACTGATATCCAACACCGCTAAAGCTTCTTGAATTCTGTGTTGCAACCCGTCTACAAAATGGTCAATTCTGTCTCGCTCACAGGAAAAGTAGTCAGGAACATACATCTCCAACTCATTAAACTTCACAAAATAATCCTCAACTGACATCGAGCCCTGCTTTAAGTCCAGCAATTCTTGCTTCTTCGCTTTTCGAATATGCGACGGTATAAACCTAGCCTTTAACTTTGCTTTAAATTCATCCCAAGTCATATCCACTTGGTCTACACCTGCAGCTTCTTCACCTAACCACCACCGATTTGCTCGGCCTTCCAAGAAATAGGCTCCAATATTAACTCGTTGATCTGGCGGAACCTGAACAACACGAAATATCTTTTCCATCTTTTCAACCCAAAACTCAAGGACTCCTGGCTCCACTGAACCAGAATATGTTGGTGGGTTATGCCGCATCACAGCATCAATGAAACTCTTCTGTTGAGGCATCATCGCGGCCATAAACTGCCGAAAGAAATCCTGACTAGGTGCCTCTGTTGGTACATGCGCTGGCACAGGATACTGTGACTCATCAGACAAAGGATCAAACTCTGGGCCTTGAATAGCCCTACGTACACCACCACCTCGAGAATTCGACATACTGCCCCCAATTTTTCCTGATTCAATATCAATTCAGCACACAGCTAAACCAAGCATAACAATAAAAGATAGATCACATTAACATGAATGCACCCGCAAAACCCAAACCTCACCAAACCAATTCAATATCATTATTATTTTCAAAACCTTTTTAATTCAAAGAGCCAAAATCTATCAAACCTAGGCTCTGATACCAACTTGTAACACCCCCAGTTGGCTCATACTGGAAATGCTACCGCCACACTGCATCATGAGGTCGTCACCTCCTACTTCGGGCCCCACAACACAGTGTTAAGGCTAAAATTAATTATATAAGCATTTTATTATTTCCAAAAAAACAAGTTTATAAATATTTACAAAAACATACTCCCAAAACGGGAGGTTTTTCTAGTTAGAATTTACATATAATACATCAGATGCAGTTCACTCATTCAGCCCGTCTTTCTATCTCCCGAGACGTCCCCTATCCCGGAGGTGCCATGCGTACCTGAATCAAATATTTTTCTTAAAAGCAGTCTAGAATTAAATCCATTTTAAGAACTAACATAAAATATGCCATGTCATGCTCGAAAATAGAGTTTAATTTCCGTCATTTGCAAAATAAATGCCATGCCATGCCCATACTGAAATAATGTAACAATAATGTCAAAATCGACAACTCATGCACATATACCCATATACATATGTCAAAGTGAGCAGCCGGAATAACCTCGGCTCCATGATAACAGCTCACTAGACTATCATCAATAAATAGCCGGAAAATCCTCGGCTCAAGGAAGGACCTGGTAAACCCATAATAATATAACGGTCACCCGGTCACTCCCATATACCCACCATACGACTCCCGCAATCAATACATGGATAGTCGAACGTTGTCGCCATTAACCACAAGACACCCCATAGTATGTGATAGCGAAGATAGGACCCTCCTGCCTAGCCCTACCCCGTGTAACGTAGTAGAATCCGTGCAACCTGGAATCACCCGAAGGAAACCCGGAAACTCTACTCCTCCTCGCACGCCCTAACGGGATCGCGTTTGGAGTTTGGCATCTGATCCTAAACTACCGGTAGACCTCACTAGTAGCTACTCCAATGAGTGGAACAACACCGAACCCGAATGATTAGACCAAATACGTCTCAACTGCAATGGGTCTAATCCCTGAATGACCGTGCGACTAAGTCACCCAGTTGTCCGACTACTATCGTCCACTATCGCCAAAGTGTTACGGTACATCGGGGTCGAATATCCTAACCCCAGATGATGCCCTCGCCTAGCACTACCGCACAAACGATAGATCCATAAAACATATCCGATAAATCGTGCGAGGTGTGCAGCATGTCAATAAGTGAATTTAATGAAAAGGGCTGGTGAGACGGCCCACCTATCCTCCTTTTTATAAATTCACCAACACGATCAAATACGTATATCAAATATCGTAAAACGAAGTTTCACACATGCATATACACACACATATATACATATATAGATGCACTGACCAAATGATTCCACATAATATCATATCAATATCAGAATCAGAATCACATGCAACATAAATACCTAATTTCTTAAAATTAGATTTAATTCCCTACTGCTTACCTCCTACCGATACTTTCTGGATTTTTATAACTTCACCCAAATCTCCTCCAACGCACACATGTTCCATTATTTACTCAAATCAGATGAGCTTTATGCTTATTCTCAGGAGCTACCTGCTTATTCAAAAGCTAATTTCTATAATTAACTCGTCGGGCTCCAAACTTTTATATTTAGTAGAATATGATATTCTAGCTATAAAATCCTTCTACCTCATAATATTTATATTGCCCGATTATTAAATAAAAATACGCAAAGGTATGAACAAGCAGGCAGGTGCAATTCACTACCGTTTTCCATTCGGCTCGGATCGATACGAAATTCTCAGAATATAATACTAGGACTACGAATAGGCTATCAGCTAAAAAATTCGTCGATTAAATAGTCAAATAGCCGGTTATGAATTTTTGAAGAATTTCTAATTTAATATTCCCAAAATATTTAATTTCTTAATTCCAAAATATAATAAAATATTTATTTGCTATAATAATATTATTTTATACATTCCGAAATCGGGGCATTACATTGGACCTATCCCACTTCTCAAATTACTGTTTTCATATGCAGTGTTTCTCGCCGTATAAGTGGGTTGGTCTATTATTAATGTCAAGTCATGATTCATGCAACCAAATGAATCATAATGAAACTCAATAATAATGCATTCTCATCTCAAGACACTAAGTGCAACATCAATGATCAATCTTTGGATCAATAACATTGATTGCTAGCAGTCATCTTGTTGCAATAATCATATACGGACAATAAGTAATGTCAAACAGCAACCAATCTTTGGACTGATGTACTATTCACATAAGTTAAATCCATATAATCGTCCCATACATACTATCGCAGATGTATATTTCATTTTGTCAATTACCGACTGCCTTTGGGCCGAAGAATAATCACATGAATTAAAATACACATAAACACTTACGTTATCAAGAAAAAATCTTATATAAGAGAGGTTACTTTGGTAACGTCAAATACTTGATCTTCACCATCAAAACGCAGCATGCATTATTAATGAATTTATAATTTTTCTTAAACTAAATTATAATCAGAATCACGTTCAATGTATAGGAGTCTGATTCCATAAAAAAATAAAGAATGTTAATTAGCAACTGAATGTACATGTCTATAAGCTATTGAATGCTCCGTGTGTGAATTTATGAAAGAAATTAGCAATCTTATCACAAGTTATCGAGCAACATCAGCAAATTTCGTTAGACAAATTACTGACTCACTAATGATAAACTTGTTTTGACAATTGAATATTGACAATGCAGTAGTGTGTCAAACAACATCATATCTTTGGACAGATTTATTATTCACACACAAATAACCAAATTATTATCACCACATTCAATGTCACTAAATATGCATGTAACTACTTAATGGCTGAATTGCCTGTTGGCAATCAGGAGCCTTGTAAGTCACAAACACAACTTTCAAATACACAAAATAAACTGATTTACGCAGAGGCTGCTTTGGCAACATAACTGTTTCAACCAATTCATAAAATATATTATATTATTTATTACTAATTAAATTCGCTTTAAATAAATCAAATATGTATGTTCAATATATATTAAAACTATAACAGCAGCAATTAATTTCTGGACTCATTAAATAATCAAGCAGTCCAAGAAAGTGACAAATGCAGCGGAATTACACAGGCAAAAATTTGCCACCCAAATAGACTATAAATTAATACACCAAATAATTATAGTTGAATTTGAACAAATGCATACTATAAAAAAAAATTGCATGCCGCTGAACTTCAAATTTAATTAGACTATCAAACGAATCATAATGAATATTCGATTTTATAAAATCAACACTAATGAATAAATAAATAAATTATGCGCGTATTAAATTTAATTGCAGATACATTAACATCCGCACATTAATTAATAAATTTTGTAATCATCAAATGAATGTCAATCTCAGCTCAAATGATTGATTAAATAACTAAATTAATCTAATCATAATACCAAAAACGGAAACAAATAATCAAGTTCTTGAAGACCGTTCTTTCCAATGAATTTTGCATCAGATTAATTTATGAATAAAAATTGACAACACAATGCATTAATTAATTTATTTTGTTGAAAGAAATAAATAAACAAACATACGTCGGACTAACACAATTGCCAATGGAATCATTTATTTTCTGATTTCCATCCAAATATTCAAATGCAGGTCATCTATAATGCATAATGTATTATATTTATATGCTCTATAATTAGCATACCAATCCTTCTAATTTAATTTTTACAACAATATATATATGTGTTGATTTCACACGGATATACTCGTATACATGGATAAGAATAAAATTTAACATTCTTATTATTCACAAAATTAACAATAAAATAAATAAATGTAAACAAAAAATCTGCAATGATTCAGATCTAATTTTGTGATTTCAATGTCCAATTTGATCGAATAATCAGTTTAATCAAGTCAGTATACCCACATAAATAATCCGACTAATTAATTGATCAATGCACAGATATATAAATATACATCCTTATATACAATGTGGTCGTTCACGAATCACTATGCAAATCCAATATCATTTAATTTTGAAATTGCTACTTCACACCAGCACAAGAAACATACCACTGATATACACAATGGCTAAATAATGAATGTCTTTAATAATCAATCACGCATACTTGATGTATTAATGCGCATCGCTTCAATTAAAATTAAATATAATTGATCTAACCAAACCAAATATCCCAATAATTCAACTTGGAAAGGATCTGATACCAATTGTTGGAACTTATTAGGAATTTAACCCTGAATCTACCGTGTTGTAATAATTGAGATAAGAATAAAGCAAATTAGATCTAACCTTATTACTCAGCATAGTCGGATTCAGATCTGCAAATTGACAGAGGATTTTGTGTTCTTCAAGCTTATGGTGCAACCCCTCTTGAGAAAACCGCTGGGGTTTCTGAACGTAATGGTTGTTGCGTCTAAACCTGTGATCACAACCCTATTTATATCCCTTATTATTAATTGGTCTCATCACCCAATTAATAATTTACCGGATTTCTGCACATTAGAGCCCGCACTTACTAAACACATTTAAGTCCAATAAATTAATAGATCAAATAGTTACATTTAATCCACAATTGGATTTTTAATCCAACATGTCTCACTAAAAAATATTTATATCCTAATATAATAAAAATATTTTGTATACAAATACCAAAATACTCCTATTTTTACACAAATTACAAACATATTACTATTACTTTATTTGTACTTTGTAATGGAAAAAATATCAAATTACCTTACACAATTTCACTACCCAATAAAATATACTCTCTCCGTCGTCAAAATTCAAAATATTATTTTTACCATTTTCGTCTGTCATACTTCAAAATATTTCGTTCCTATTTTTAGAAAAATATAATTATACATTAATACTATAATACCTTTACTTAAATTACAAATATACAATTACACATATAATTACTTTATATATAAAGTTAAATAACAAAAATATAAAACCTCTTACATATTTTCACTAATTAATAAAATATTATTATTTCTTAATTTACTACAAAATTCTAAAAGCCCTTTAGTTTATGACGGAAATAATATTATTTTTTAATCCACCACAAAAAAAAAAAAAAATAAATGAACCATTTGAAATAAGACGAATGGAGTAAAAATTTATTTTTCAGTATCATATTGTATATATTTTAGAGAGATGTAGTGTTTAAAATAAATATATTTTTTAAATTTCTTAACAATTATAGTATATATTAATTTTTATTTTAAAAAATGTCAATATCACTACTTACTTTACGTAAATATTTATATATATACTCGTTCAAATTTATGCTTATTTATGTTTTGGTTGTCATAAAAAATTATTTTTGTTTTTTCTTAAATAAAAAAAAATCATTATACTTTTCTACTTTTTTTTAACTATAAAAGAAAAAAATAACAATTATTACTCTCTTTTTTTTATTAAACTCTAATCCGGTCAAGTGAGCACATTTTAGGTAAATTTATTAAATCAAAACATATTTAACTAATATAAATCTAATTTAATTAACTACATAACATATAAAATCATAAATCATATAAAACTCACTCAAAACTTTTTTATTTATATCTCTTTTGAAAACCAACTATTTTTTATCTTATTTAAAACTCTACTTATTTTATAAAATTATTTTATATTAATTAAAAATAAATAGAAATATTTTTTATTTACTTGTATGATAAGTAAGAAATTTTATTTTTTGCAAAATAATATTTATATTATAATATTTTTTATTGTGATATCATTTTTAGAATATATATTCTAATTTTTCAAATATATATTAAATATATTTTACAACTATCAATATTATTAATTATCTAAAAAATAATAAAATAATACTCTCTCCGTCCCAAACGAAATAAGTCATTTGGAGTTTTGTAGTAGATTAAGGAATAAGTATTTTATTTATTTATTTTGATGACGTGGAAACCCGCAATTGCTACCCGGAAGTACGCACTGGGTAAATCTCCAGTCGAACCTAATATCCTACAAACTAAGCCCAACAGGCAAGTCTCACTAGGAGAATCATGTGTAGCAGGTGACCAAACCCATTACCTTACGGTCATAAGTAGGAATAAATATTTTATTAGTCAGTGAAAATGTCCGAGAGATTTTAACATTTTTGTCTCTTGACTATTTGTATAAAATAATTATATGTATAATGGTATATTTATAATTTAAGTAAAAATTAAAGACTATTTTGACATTAATGTATGATTATTTTTTTAAAAATAAAAAAAATTTGGGACTAAGGGAATGTCGTAACTCATTATTAATTAAGTAAATATTATTATTTTAAAAATATTGTATAACTAATGAAAATGGTCAATTATATTAGAACAACAAAACACTTTATATAGATTTATTAACAAAAAATGAAATAATTATTAATGACAATTTAAATTTTAATAAAATTAAATAAATAAAAATATATATATATTAAACGAGGCCAGTTCAAACACGAATTTCAATTTGTATACAAAGACGCTGGCGATGCCACGTAGGATGGTGGACACTGAATGGGCAAAGGCGAAACAAATAGAAATAATTGAGGGTAAAATGGTCTTTTAAAAAGATGGCAGTTCGTACCAGTGTCATCCGTCTTCAATTCCATCGTCCAAACAGTTCATTCAATTTCTAATTCTGGCTAATAATAAAATACTTGTGTAGTTGATTGATATCCAAACATCTTGCTCGCAACTATTTCTCTATCCAAATATCAATCAAGTTTTCAGTTCTTCAAGATCCTTTCCACGTCCAATTCCAACGAAACTAAAGTCAAGTTTCTCGCAATTGGGCCATTGGAGCCGCTGCTATGCTATAATCTTGCTACTTCCGCTATTCAACGGTACTACAGATCTCTGTTTTATTTCAATTTCGCGTTCCGATTGAACAAACATCTGTTGTTATCTTTTTCCCTCAATTAGGGTTTCGTTGCCAGATTTCGGTTTTTTTATTGGATAGTTCAGTTGGAGATTATATTATGTGTTCTGAGATTTAGATTACTTTATACTCATACTTTTAGAATTGATTCTATTGCTGAATTCGTAGTTTCAATGTTTTAGTGCTGTTTCGCTTTCAGTTTTAATCTTAAGTGCGAAACGATTGAGATGAGCTGAAGCTGCACAATTTCTCGTTTTCCATTTCAGATTCTTCTTTCGATCAGGAAACTGAAACTTGATTAGTTGATTATGTCAGTGAAGCAGGTTAGGTTAGGCTATGATGGATGAAGCAGAAACACCTACATTAAGCACTGACAATTCAGGTCACAAACATGGCGGATATCCTAATTTTGTCAGTGATGCTTTGAAGAACTTTGCCTCTTTTCCGCAGAGAATGCGCCAGATTGTTCAAGTAAGACTCTGCTAAACAATTCTGTTTAGAGGAAAAGAAATTTAGTTTTGTTTGTTTTTGTTGAAATAAATTTCTTATATTTTAGATATCCTATATATATTACATCTATTAATACATCTATTAATAGGCTAATACTAAAATTCTACAACATATAATATGGTTAGACCCACATTTTTCAAGAACATTTAATCTGAAAGGTAAAGGTAAAGGTCTTCCAATTTTAAGATTTTGCTATATTCGTTTTTCAGCTATAAAATTATATATTATGTCCGTCTATCTTGAATTTGAGAGGATGTTTTTTTATTGATAGTATTATTTAGTTAAGTTGCTACCATTTGATTATATCCATTGGATTAGATATTTATTATTTAATCTACACTCTGTATGTTGCTGTAGTTTCCTTTCAAACCATCAAAGAGAGATGACTATTTAACATCCTCTGAGCATCCAATGAAAAACAGCATGGAGTTGTCTTCTTCTGTGGAGTTGAGTTTAGAGAAGCAAATGAATGCTTGGAAAGACAATCCGGCATGGACGGAAAATCCTCCTGATATAAAGGTGAAGACGATGATGCCTCAACCATCTAGTAATTTGTGTTTAGAATCTACCCGATTTTATGATTTTCGTGCTATAATCCACTAAATTGATCTTAAACTCTTCCTATCTAAATCCCTATTCAACATTCTTGCAGGTCACTGTACCTAAAGGTTCACTTTGCAATCTAAGTTTGAGGGTCGATGTTGGATTACCACCCGATGCAATATACAATATTGTCACCGATCGCGATAACAAAAGAGTTTTCAAAAACATTAAGGTAAAACTAATAATAGTTTTGAAGCCTTGTTTCCATGGATTTCTACACTTCCATCATTTTGGGCTTTCGGATGTCATCGGCATGCTTGCAATTTTTTTATGACATTCGGATTCTTAGTTTAACAATTGATTAAACTCAGGAAGTAATATCCAGAAAAGTGATAGTGGATGAAGGACTAAGGCAGGTTGTCGAAGTAGAGCAAGCAGCCATTTGGAGATTCCTTTGGTGGTCGGGAACAATCTCTGTCCATGTCTTGGTCGACCAGAACAGACAAGATCACACGGTAATAACATTTAATTCCGAGGATTGTACACTCCAAAGTCCCGACCAATTCGACTAAACTTAACTAGTTTGTGTCACGAATAGTGTGTTTGTTTGGGGGTTTAAATTTTGAGTTGAGATTTGAATAGTAAAAATTTTAAATTTGAATAGTTGTATGATGTGATATAAATAAATATTGATGTAATGTTTTGAATGTAAATTTGATTTTTAATATAATATAAAAAATAAAAAATAAGTGTTTGATTTGATATATTTGGAGAAAAAAAATTGGATGAATTGTGAATTTTGGGACAAATCCCCCAAACAAACACACCTTCAAGGATCATTAACCATTGTATTCGGTTTCTTTCTTTCCTCATTCTATTTGATGATCAGATGAAGTTCAAACAAATCAAATCAGGATTCATGGAAAAGTTCGAAGGCTCCTGGAAGATCGAACCTTTATTCGTCGACCATGAGCTATGTCATCCACCAAAACCAAACTCAGTAGAGGAATACATTTCTTGCACCAAAGGCAAGGGAAGAATCGGGTCGAAGCTGAGGTTAGAGCAACTTATACAACCATCTATTGTCCCTCCCCCGCCGATATCATGGTACCTAAGAGGAATCACTACAAAGACCACCGAGATGCTGATTAATGACTTCCTGGCCGAAGCTGCCAGAATTCGGACAAGTTGGGGCAAAGACACTGATAACACCGAAGAAAACTATGCCGAAAACTTAGATCGAAGAGGTGATGCTCTTAATGTGAAACAAAGATGGGCTATGATGAGGAGGAAAAAGTTAAGGCATTCTCATAGAAGATTGTCCAGTATGGATTCAAATTCCATTTAGATAGATTGTAGCTGGGAATTTTATGGCAAATCCTGCCAATGATACACACTATAAGGTGTGTTTTATCATTGGTGGAAGAGTTATTGTACCACTATCAATAAATGTTGAATATAATCATAATCGATGTTCCTACTTCGACTAGAATTATTCTCCATAAACAACAAGAAGCAAGTTTAGCATCTATAACATATATACCATATAGAGGAAAATCATGACATTTTCAAATGAGGATTTATCACAATCTGCAGATAATACATGGGATTAAGAACCATTTTCACCCTAAAATTCTAAAGTTCCTGAAGACATCGCTATTGATACTGTAAGACAACTCACTGCAACAACTTCAAGAGAAATATATACGCTAATACAAGCAGATTACATTAACCGTTGTGCAGACAATGGGATTCGAAAATAAACACATCATAAACACGAAAGGCATAAGTAGCGACAAAAATTATCCAACATAATTAATGAAAACACAACCACAACTAAAGGGATCGATGTTCTGCAGTTAAATTTAAGACAATCACCACGGTATCATTAAAAAGGGTTATGAATTCCAAATGACAACAGGTAATGCTTGTTTAAAATGTCACAAACCTGTTCAAAACTTGAATTTTCTTTTAGTTGATTTTTTGTTCCCTTTTTCCTTGCATCCTCTCTTTAGCTTTTTCTCTATTCATACAAATTACGGCCAAGACAACTTACATAAACATCTTACCTGGTTCCTCAACATAAGCTTCAGATCCCAGTCAAAATAGGCAAACCGCAAACAGCAAACCCGAACTACCAGCTGTCATCACTCTGGTCTAATATAACAGCATTCTTGTTAAACTTCGACAGATTTATTTTGTATTCTCTCTTCAATTTCCCAACCGATGCAGAACTGAGATCACCAATAGATATAACACATAAATGCATATGAACTGTTCGAGTAGTTAGTCCAGGATACAGAGAGGTTAAACATGATTCTCCTGCAGATGCCTTTTGTGGTCTCTTTCAGAATATCCAGGCCTCCCCAATCCATTTCGTTCCAACGGGCTACCCGGCTTTCTCTTTCGAGGTGATCGATATCCCCTGTCTACTTCCTCGGATGGTGCTACTTCCCCTTCTTCCACAGCATCAAAATCATCTCTACCTTCATTGGCATATCTTGTGTGGTGAGAGTTCTCATGCTCCGACCTATTCGAAGGCTTGGACCAACTTTGCTTCCTTTCGCGCTTGGTCTTCTCATTCTCACCTGGCACCTCAACATCCTCCAGTTCCCTCTCAAGCTCATCCATGGGGTCCATTTTATTTATGTCGCCACGAGCCTTTCTCCGTTCAAAAGCAGCTTTTATCTTTTCTTTGTCCAATTTTTTTGTAGCATCATGGGGTGCCTGACTGACTTTACTATCCTTGTTAAGACTTCGGCCATGATATTTATCCTTCATTTCCCCTGCATCCCTTGGTTCAATCTGCACAACAGTTCCCTCCTGATCATCACTGCCATGCCCTTCCATTAACTTCGATCTATTCTGGATCTCCCCTGCATTCCCCTTCAGAGGAGCCACTTCTCTCCCATGGTGTTGGATATCATTAAACTCATCATCTCCCCGACGCTCAGGATTGGTACTGGTTTCAGCACTGCCATAATCATTATTTCGCGCTTGGGAGGTTCTGGATGGTCCGTGATGATTATTTGCATCTTGTGGATCTGGAGCTGGCTTTGATGGTGCTGGCTTGGAAGATGATGCCTTTGAAGAAGCACCACCATGGGAAGAACTATAACCAGTGGCGTGTTCTTCGTTGCCGGGGCCTTTTGTAAAAGGTCTCTGACTACCTCCAGCACTCCCTTCAGCTTCACTGGCCTGGGATTGTGGATTTTTGTTTTGTTCGTACAATTCTAACATCTGGTTGCTGACCTCTGCAAAGAACAGATAGCGTACAGTTAAAATGAGATCAAATATTATAAATCAACTTGTAGCAAAATAATATAGTCACGACAGATTAAATCAATTGCTATCCTTGACCCTCCCTTTTCTCCTTTATATACAATGTAATTTGAGATATGATGAGAAAAGAAAAACTGCAGTGCAAGGGGTTCATAATATGCATTAGATGCTATTTTGTTACTTAGCATTTACCTCGCTAAAATCCAATATTAAAACATAACGTAGATATCAATGAGAAAGCCAAGCTATTTTAATGCACCAAAATATTCTAGAAAGGTCGACTATTATACAGGGGTGAGAATTAGCTCATGAAAGCATGATGTTGATACTAGTCAACATCATGAAATCAATCTGTACAGTCAACCAAAAGGCATGCAGGACACCAACCCTCCAATTGGCGTGGGGTGACATCAAACTCCTGCCACCAAACCTTCTCACCATCAGATGGAAGCTTTACTTTAAGAAACTTGGCAGCTAGGAATATAGCACCTGCTGCAATGTGGTGGGGCTTAAATTGCAAGCACAGAGATGTTCGAAGCCTGCATGCCGCTTTCTCGGGTCAAAAGGAGAAGAGGTAGAAAGGCCATGGATAAGCGATAAGTTTAAAGCTATGTTAAGTATTCCATACCCATCATTGACAAAATTCCATGCAACTTGAGCAAGTGCATTTTGAGCAACCTGAAACTTTTTAATTGCCTCAACAAGTGGCTTGTATGGATGCTGTATATTGAGGTCAAAACCAAGTGTAACAAGAACAACCCTTTCTCCCAGCAAAACAAGTTCTTTTTGTTGTTCATACACCTCCTGCACAAAGGACCAACATATCGTATTGATTAATAAAGACGCCTTGGATTCTGATAATAATAATAATAACAATAATAATAATAATAATAATAATAATAATAAAGACACCTTGGAGCTTATTTTTCAAATATCATACAAACACATGAACCCAAGTGTCACAATTTTTCAACCACGGGTGATCTAAAAAGCTCCTAAAACCAATATATGAAGAAATCACGATTGAGCAGTATCAAGCCAACAAAGAACAATTTACGCCACCTTCTGCTTGATTCTTTGCACAGCTGCAGGGTCCTTTTTATGAATAATCTCATACGAAACAAGAATGACATCTTTTAGAGGACGAGGTGTTTCTTCAACCTTACCAGCTAGAAACATACAAACTGTAGCAATTGTCTGCAAAAGATGCACAAAACATCAACTTTCATGATTTCAGAGTGCTAGTGGTGAAAAGTTGAACCTAAAAAAAATATCAAATTAATAATATCATGAGCAATAGATCAATTTCACCGACATGAAATTAGAATTACAAAATGCATATGAAAATTTTCTTTCAACTATCAAGATATACATTTAAGGTGTTTCAAGGGTCTAAATGAAATAACCAAATCTAAGCATATGAAGTTATAAGCACATCTTTCAGATTGCTACAAATTCTCCAAACCATGAAACAAAAGTCAAATCACCATGAGAAGTAAGCCCTTTATATGATCGCGTAAATTCCAAATACAGAAGAAAGACATCCTTACAGGATGCCTTTACAAAAATTGCACCAGGAGTTCCAATTTGTATTTGCATTTTTGTAACATGTACAGAATATGAAGAATGTGCAAAAACACCATCAATTTGTAGGTTGTCACTGGATTTTTGCCAAAAATATTGTGCACTGTGTCAATACCTTGTTTTGCTTTTTCATCTTTTACATCACTGTCACTCACTTGAAATCAATAATATATCAAGTGCAAAATGAACAGTGAAATCTTATCAAACAATGTGCTTAGATAAGGTAGACCACAGGCTTTGGCCATCTTGGCTTATTTCAGGGTTGAAAATTAATAAAAATAAAAAAAGTGGCACAGGCTATATTGTAGTGAACAACTCTTGAAAAAAGCAGTATACAGTTAAGAACAAAACCTGGATGCTATTCAAAAGGTAAAATGAAAAAGCATGCTCATCAAGATCATCTCAAGATGGTTTGTGGCCATAGATCAAATGGTGCAAATATAAGTAACAGTCTCACTAGAATCTGGATTTTCCAACATCAATAAGCATTAAGTAATTTTCTGCTTGAAATGATCTAACGAAGGCACAATAAAAATCTAAGCTTGATCAAAAGACAGTATGCTTCTAGTGTAACACGATAACCAGTCAATAGGCAGTACTTAACAACATAGCAATTGAAATAACATAACAAAAGGTTAACATAAACCACTCACCCTCCTATCATTTTTCGCATGGGACTGTCGAAGGAAGAAACGGTGACAGAATATAATAGCTGTTGCTATTGTCACTTGAGGCCTGTATTATAATGTAAATTGGATTCAGTTTGCATAGATTTTTACATCTGTACTATTTCATTGCAAAAGAATAGTGCAGTCAAGAAAGCATAAACATATTCCAGACAACCACAGTTAAAGGGATGGGCTTGTATTCCAATAATTACCTAGGCTTATTAAAATTTAGAATTTTTTCTAGTAACCAGGAACTATAGAATCTGGATGATACATTATCCAAATCCTTCACAAATTATGAAATAGCAAATACTTGTGCAAATGCACTTCAGCACATACATATCATAGACACCATATTTTTATGAACTTACATCAATTTAAACCATATAGCATAAAATACAACAAATGATATGTATGTCATTACTTGTATCTTTTTCTTAACCAAGGCTATTCACATGCTCCTCTTCCATAAAACAGGAAGCAACTCAATAACAGAAGTATATAACTACACATATCAAGATCACCTATAGTCAAAGAAAATCGGACATCAGCATATTAATAAGGGGCTAAAAATAAAAAGAAGCTTAGCACATCCTTCACAAATTACCAAGGTAAAAAAAGAACAAGAATAATAAAGAACTTACACTTTAAGTCTCATGCCTAAATCTTGTAAAAATGTGCAATATGATTTGCGCAGGTAAGTTTCTTTCTTCAAATCAATGCCATCTTGTCTAGAAGGAGAGTTCTCTTCAATTTCCTTCCTTGAGAAATACCAACGTCCACCACCTTCTTCTGGCTTTACCTGAGAAGCCTTGTAATTTCCTCCGGATGGCCCATGGTGGGAGGGTTCACCCGACAAGAGGCTAGCCATTTGCAGTTCTCTTCTCCCACCAAAGATTTTCGAAAGTATCAAAAAGGGAGTCTGAAGTTTGAATAGGTTTACTGTTTTAGATACCTTCAAAGACAAACTCCAACTTAGCAATACAAACAATGTAAAATGCAGTAGAATGGGAGCGTGAGCAAACAAAATTAGCATGCATATAGTGATGTGACTTAAAAAGCATCAAACAAATATAATATTGAGTCAGACAAAATTCAGAAATTAGAACATCAGAAGCAATATTAATGCAACATGAAAGTTTATGCCTGCAAGCAGCACATGCAAACATCAAGAAGTTTCCTTGCATCTCCAGAAATTCAATGAACAAAACCAAGAAAATCACTACCATATAATAAATGTCAACAGCATTGCTTTATAAAATTATACACATGCATGAACTAGAGCAGGAAACAAAGCGGATATTAAAAAGGAGAAGAACAAAACAAAACCAAAAACAAACTAGAATCATAGGTTTTACAATTATTCAAAATAATTTGATGCCATATGAAATATGGGAGCATACAAATGATACTAAATTGTCACTATATGACTATACAACTGAAAACTTTTCATCATTCTTGATATTGAGTCATTGTGCAAGCAAGTTGTTTTTTGCATTGTTAGCTATAAGGAAATTCTGCATTGACCCTTCAACAGTTGAGAAAGGTGTACATGCAATCAATGCCTCAAGGAGTTATATTAACTATGTGATTCGATTGTTAGCCTAGCAACCAATTAAAGCTAAGAACAGTCGGCCACCCTCCCTCTAGGTTTTGTGTTAGAACTAACGATTATATAGTTGTAAATGACACAGGGGCAGGAGCGCATTCACTAGCAGCTATATGGTCGCAAGCGGCAGCAGAGTGGCAGGAGCAAGGAATAGGTGAAGAACAAAAGAGTTATCAGGAGAGAAGTGGAAAGACAATTCAAGGCTAAAAAAGGCCTAAAAACATTCAATTAGATTTTAAAAAACTAAAAAGAAAAAAGAGAGCAACATAAGCGACATCATTGTGCGCCTCGATGCCTTTGTAATGGCACATGCCATTGTGCCCCTTTTATAATTGTGGTCCCTAACCCTTGAGGAAGTTGAAGACCCAAAGCTCCCATACCTCCATGAAATCTCTTAAAGAGAATTCAAAAATATTGACCTACAAAATCTTTTGCCACAAACTTTCTAGGTGTAAAGTCACTTTTAGTCAACGAATAGCTTTTTTTATCGGAACTAATAGCTTTATTTAATACTATAGAAATACAAACATAGCAAAATATGGCAGCTGGCATTAAATGAACGACTGGTTGACACATAGCACCAAAAGATGATCTCGGTCCACTTTCTAATTGTATCAAAGTGAGCATCCCTGGCCAACAAGAGAATTAAAGCTCGCTCAAGTTGGAACACACAACCTAAAATTATTGCTAATTCAACTATTTTTTATTTATTAGGATAGATTATATTTCCCTGGTTGACTTCGTTCCGTAATTTGATCCAAAGTTGTGGGAAGACTATCCTATTATGCATAGAGTAATGGAATATTATGTATATTCCATGGTTATCCGTAACCATAATGCACCAAAGCAATAAATATTTTAAAGTTTAATTTTACTCTCTCCGTGTTGTGAATTCAACTATTTTTATATTTATTATGCTAATTATATTTCCTTATTTGACTAAGATTCATTCTGTTTGATCCAAAGTTGTGGTAAGTCTACCTTATTATGCATAGGGTAATGAAATACTATGTCTATTCCATGGTTTGCTGTAACATAATGCACCAAAGCAATAAATATTTTAAAGTTTACTCTTTACACTCCTTGCAATCCTAAATTTAGCTTGTTTCTAGAATCACTCCATTTTGGTTCATGACTTGTTTAATCAAATTCCACATAGAAGCAGCATAGAGCCAAATATGAAATTAAATCATCAAATTCAAGTTATGTAGTTGTAGGCCAAAGGAAAACATTAACGGCTGTGAACTAAAAGGGAATGTAGCATTTTTGGCAGGTCCGAAAGCTGCGATTTGTCGAATTTCAAATAACATCCACAGGATACATAATCCAATGGATACACATAAAGCCCAAACTTAGGCAAAACAGTTATTTGACTCAAAAAAGTCTCAATTACAATAACAGAGCCAGACAACGGGTTTATCACACATAATAAAGCCAAAAATTGCAACAGAAAACTAAACGATAATAAGATTTGAGCCTTATCCAAACAAGACAATCATGAGCCCTAAAGATACCAAACGCCAGCCATACAAAAGTGAACCAGTTTAATTTGCAAGAAGATTAATACTTACCCGAAAAACAAACAACGAAACAATAATAATAATCTTCAGAAACCATCTATCGAAACTAAATTCGCGCGCATTCAAGAAACCTGAAACAATGAAGTACACAACAAAATAAAAACCCTAAAATCAAACTTTCAAATAGATACAAAAATTTTCCGAAAACAAGAAAAAATTAGGGCACAAATTGAGTTCGCACGAATCTTGGGAACAATGAAAAAGGTTATAGCAAGAATTGAACCTCAGAAGCAAGCGGCGGAGAGGCGACGAAATTGGTTCGCAGAGTCGGTGGCAATCGAGGAGCTCGGCGGGCGGGCGGCCTGCGATGAGGTAGCGTAGGCGGTCGGCGAGGGCTGTGATAGGACCAAAAACCGAGTCGAATGTGGTTTTTCTGAATATATATCGGAAAAAGGAAAATTGAGGTACTGCAACTCATAATGGGCCTCCCTCCATTTTTGCATATTTCTCCAGCCCAAATTTCACCAACGGTCCAAAATCAAGTTGCCAAGTGGGCTTCATCTAACTTCAACACTGTTAATATTTTAAATAAATATATATTTTTTTCTTTTTATTACTTATTGCTTTTAAATTAAAAATTAGGGGTGTGTTTCTCTAGTCCAGTTTTGGGCTGGATTACTGTGCAAACAATATTAATTCAATCCAAAACTGGGTTGGAGGTGATTTGGGGATCTACGCTTTTTCTTCTGTTTTTTTTTTTAATTATAAATGTAAAAAAATATATATTAATTATTATTTAATAAAATATATACAATATATATGTCATAGAGAATAAAATTTTTTATATATAAATAAATAAAAATTTAAAAATATATACATAGATATAATATAAATTTATAATCAAATTAATATATATTTATATTATTATAATCATTATCATCAAATCAATCCACATCAAAACTCTCCAAATTCAACCAAAATTTAAATACAAAAGAAACACATAAATTCAAACTCACCTCAAAATTCAAATAAAAACCAAATTCAAATTCAAATTTTCCCAAAATTCCCTGAAAAAACACATGCCTGGAACCTCAACTAGTTGTAGTAATATCTACAGTACCGCAGCGTCAATTGATCCACGCGCAAAGTTCGGCCGCCAACCAACCAAATAAAGGATCCCATCTCCCCTCTATTCTCGCGCACTATCACTACAACATCATCGTTGAACAGACGCTAACGACTTGCCTTCAATGACCTTCAAGATTCGGACAGATCCGACTACATGTGTATATATATATATATATATACTAGTACTCGTGTGAGCGCGGCTAAGCCGCGCAAGTTTTTGTTATGGTAGAATATTTTTTGTAATTTTTTTTATATAAATATATTGTATGAGTTCATTAGCGGTATATATTTTACATTTTTTATTTCTTGAAAAAAAGGATAATATAAATATATTTTAGGAAAAAAAAAAAAAAAAAAATTGACCGATTTAGTTTTACGAAAGAGGAAGAGAATGAGAGAAAATGAGGAAAAAATAATATAAATATATTTTAGGGAGAAAAGTAAAAAAAATATTGACCGAATTAGTCTTACGAGAGAGAAAGAGAATGAGAGAAAATATAATATAAATATATTTTATGGACAAAATGAGAAAAATATATATATATATATTTGTTACGTAGAAAATAATAAGGATAATGGTAGCAGGGTCTTAAAGGAGGTCGGACAAGATAAGGTCGGGCGAAGAAGGATGAGACGGACGAAACGGAGGTCGGACAAAAGGAAGACGGACGAAGAAAGATGAGGGACGACAGAGGTCGGACCAAATGAGGTCGGACGAAAAAGGATGAGACGGCCGATACGGAGGTCGGACCAAATGAGGTCGGTCGAAAGAGGAAGTTGGGCGAAGAAGGATAAGACGGCCGATACAGAGGTCGGTCGAAAGAGGAATTCGGGCGAAGAAGGAGAAGGCCGATACGGAGGTCGGTCGGGCGAAGAAGTCGGGCGAAAATGATGAGATGGCGCTGATACGGAGGTCGGTCGAAAGAGGAAGTCGGGCGAAGAAGGATAAGTTGGCCGATACGGAGGTCGGGCGAAGACAGGTCTGTTAATTGGTCGCCAAATTAAGTGAACAGTAGTTAAGTCGCTTGATTGGGGCGACCATTGAGATAGAAAGAAATATAATATAATAAATTATATAAATATATATTTTTTATATCTGTGCAACAAACAACTTTAAAAATATATATATTTTTCTTTGGATATTTATTTTCTATTTTATTAAAAAATTATTTTCTACAAAATGATATATATACTGAGAACCGTCCAATAGGTAGTCGGTTGGGATAGAAAAATGAGATAAAAAATATAATAAATTATATAAATATTGTTACGTACAAAAAATAATAATAATAAAAATAATGATAATGGTAGCAGGGTCCTAACGGAGGTCGGTCGAAAGAGGAAGTCGGGTGAAGAAGGAGGCGGCTGATACGGAGGTCGGGCGAAGACAGGTCTGTTAATTGGTCGCCCAATTAAGTAAACAGTAGTTCAGTCGCTTGAATGGGGCGATCATTGGGATAGAAAGAAATATAATATAATAAATTATATAAATATATATTTTTTATATCTGTGCAGCCAACAAATTTTAAAAAATATATATTTCTTTGGATATTTTTCTTTCTATTTTATTAAAAAGATTATTTTCTACAAAATGATATATATACTGAGAACCGTCCAATAGGTAGTCGGTTGGGATAGAAAAATGAGATAAAAAAATATAATAAATTATATAAATATTGTTACGTAAAAAAAAATAATAATAATAATAAAAATGATAATGGTAGCAGGGTCGTAACGGAGGTTGGTCGAAAGAGGAAGTCGGGTGAAGAAGGAGGCGGCCGATACGGAGGTCGGGCGAAGACAGGTCTGTTAATTGGTCGCCCAATTAAGTGACCAGTAGTTCAATCGCTTGATTGATGCGACCATTGGGATTGAAAGAAATATAATATAATAAATTATATAAATATATATTTTTTTATATCTGTGCAACCAACAAATTAAAAAAAATATATTTTTTTTGGATAATTTTTTTTCTATTTTATTTAAAAATTATTTTCTACAAAATGATATATACTGAGAACCGTCCAATACGTAGTCGGTTGGGATAGAAAAATGAGATAAAAAAATATAATAAATTATATAAACATTGTTACGTGCAAAAAATAATAATAATAAAAATAATGATAATGGTAGTAGGGTTTTAACCGAGGTCGGTCGAAAGAGGAAGTCGGGTGAAGAAGGAGGCGGCCGATACGGAGGTCGGGCGAAGACTGGTCTGTTAATTGGTCGCCCAATTAAGTGAACAGTAGTTCAGTCGCTTGATTGGGGCGACCATTGGGATTGAAAGAAATATAATATAATAAATTATATAAATATATATTTTTTATATCTGTGTAACCAACAAATTTAAAAAAATATATTTTTGTTTGGATATTTTTTTTCTATTTTATTAAAAAATTATTTTCTACAAAATGATATATATATACTGAATATATCGGATGGAGAACCGTCCAGTAGGTAGTCGGTTGGATAGAAAGAGGAGAGAAATAAATATAATAAATTATATAAATATATATTTTTTATATCTGTACAACCAGGGCACGAAGTCAGGCCTGATAAGGTCGGGTCGGACGTGATACATTCGGGAGAGAGGTCGGACCTGAGTGAGTCGGGCAGGGTAGTCGGACATGAGAAGGTCGGGCAGGAAGTCAGATCTGATAAGGTCGGGCGTGGCAAGGCCAGACACGGAGGTCGGATGTGGTAAAGTCGGGCACCAAGGACGGTTGCGATAATGTCGGACACGAAGTCGGACATTATATAGGTCGGGTGAAAAGAAATCGGGCAAGATGATGGACAAAGAAAATAATATCCAGGTCGGACCACATATAGGTCGGGCCAACAGCCCATTTAAGGCAGTAAGACCTTTGGTCAGCCGAAGCAGTTGAGTGCGGTAATTGATGCCACTTGAGATCAGCCGAAAGGCAGTTTTGGGGGGTTCAGGTCGGGTGAAAGGCAGTTCTGGGGCGGTTAAACTGATAAAACAAAATATATGTTAATTTGACATTACTGAATAGTTATTGTTTACAACACGTATTCAAATGTGGTTATGGACGTAAGGTCAATAAAGGGAAATGACCCATTTAAATTTCTTTACAATAGAAACCAGAATATTATTGAAATAAAAACCATACAATTTTATACATTAAGGGTGTCTATAAAACATTCAATAATAAGAAAACATTGACGAAGCAGTAAATGTGAATTAATAGACATTGTCAACGTCGATCATTGAGTAAGCAGTAGGCTTCAATGCTCAGTACAAATATGCTTCTAAACTATTCAATAACCAAAAATATTGGCCAATCAGTAGGCATTAATTAGTGCATATTAGTATCGTGAATCATTGAGATGGGAAAAGTGGAAATGTGCTACGGCCAATCTTTGTCCTCATAGTTGTTTTAGTACAGCAAAAAGTGCATATGCCAAAAGGTATGCTAGTGTTGATGGAAACTATTTCTTGCTACTAAGTTTACTCTTTTTGGTGGGTGTTGCAGGTTGCTTTTCTTTTTTTTGTGCGGTTTGTGGACAAGAAGCTATCATCATCAATCAGCAATGGTGTGAGGTTTTTGCGGATGCTCCCTATTATATAAATTAGTAACATTGTAAGTAAATGTGAATATGAAAGAGTAATTTTATGTTTGAGATGGTTATATATATATGTACAATTATAACATGCATTTACGGTGGACATGATCACTTAACTTGTATTTGGAGCATGAAATGGTGAATCTGATGTTGTAACATGCGATAGTGATGGAGTGAGTCCCGATGGTTCCGGATTGATATGGGTTGGTGAATCAGTTGTACCTAAATTCAGCTGGTCTTCTGCTATAAAAGGTCAAATAGACAATCATTAGAATGTTAAATTTAGAACGGATAGTACTTTTGGTTTTTAGATCAATGACATAGTAAAGTGAATTACCCAAGTTCAATACTTCCATGGTGTTGATAGTATAACTATCTGCGTTGAACTTTACTAACGTTGTTTTTTTTTTTTCTTGATTGTGAAGGTGAACTCGGTATTGCTGACAACTTTGTTGCGGCTTTCGCACAGTTAAATAAGCTCCTGGAAAAGGTATGTACCAATATAAGGTTATATTGGTAGTAAAGTTGTCTGGTTATGTGATATATTGAAATTTGCATTAATGTTCCAGGAACTGCTTTAAAAAAGGTGTTATATTGTAGCGTTATAGTACCTTTTCTGTTCTGGTTTGCAAAAGTTCGAGCTGACAATCCAAAAGTATTGCTACAATTTTCTCATATGCAATGCATTTGACGGAG